CCAGTGTTTAGGTTTCTGTATTGGGTTTGTGCCTGTAACTTCAGAAGCCAACGGCATTACCGGAGACAAAATCTGATTCAGCCACCACCACCACCTGTAAGTGATTGTTTATATAACAGGCTATTTTGCTAAATCCCTCATTTCAAGTTCGATTGATGCATGTATTTTCTTTTTGAAAGGTTTCTGTTAGTCATGGTGCGCAAGCGTAAGTTAGGGGCATCTGCAAGTTATGGAGCTGAAGATGCTAATTGTGCTGAAAATACAATAGACAGATTTAGCAATCTTCCCGACGAAGTTGCTCATCGGATTCTTTCCTTCCTCTCTTTCAAAGATCTCACTCGAGTGGGCGCCTTGTCGAAAAGATGCAGGCAATTTTATCTATCAGCTCCGGTCGTGAGTTTTGAATATTCAAGTTGCAAGCCACGTGGAGTAACCAACCAGAAGATAGCGAAGTTGATGAGCTCTTTGGATAGGTACTTGTGTTATCGTGGTGATCATAGGATGCAGATCTTCAGCATTAATTGGAGCTGCTTTTGGTCTGAACCAGCGAGCAAGTTTTCTGATGATCGTTTTCGGGTGATCACCTGGATTGTTAATGCGGTAAGGTGCAATGTTGAAGTGCTTGATCTCCGTTTGGCATGTGAATTTCTTGCGCTTCCATCTTGCGTTTTTCTTTCTGAGTCTTTGCGGTCGCTATCAGTGCATTTGTCTTGGATGATTCTTGAAGCCCCGTCTGTATCCTTTTCCAGTAATCTCTGTTACTTAAAACTGGAAAAAGTTACAATAGTGGATGAGAGGTTTTTCAAATGGATCTCACGTTCCTGCAAATTCATGAAGGAATTACAGCTTATTTGGATTCGAGGAATACAAATAATCTCTATTGAAAGTTCGTCTTTAGAATCCCTTCTTGTTTGGATCAATGATCCTAACCCTATTCATCTGAACGTCTCTGGTCAGAAACTTGAAAGTATTGATATAAGCTTTAATGATTACTATGCGCGAACACGCAGCATAGAGGTGAATAGTTTTGCTCCAAATCTGAAATATTTGAAATGGGAAGGCGTTTTGAACAATAGTCTGAATCTGGGGAAATTAACGGGTTTGGAAAAAGTAGAGATTTTTTTGG